CTTGCAAACACTTAGTATTTTCTATTTTTTGTTTTGTTTTGTTTTTATAGATAATAACCATCCTACCTAGTGGCTATTTGTGTGCTGATTGGCCATTTGTATATCTTCTTTGGATAAATGTCTATCCAAGTTCTTTGCCCATTTTTGAATTGGTTTGTTTGCTTGTTTGTTGTTGTTTTTAGTTCTCTATATATTATGGACTTTAATCCCTTATCAGATAATGTGACTTGCAAATATTGTCTCCATTCAATGGAATGCCCTTTTACTCTGTTTGACCATGTACTTTAATGCACAAAAGTTTTTAATTTTCATAAAATCCAATTTGTTTATTTTTTACTTTTGTTGTTGCTAGTGCCTTTGCTGTCATATCCAAGAAATAATTGCCAAATCCAATGTCATGAAGCTTCCTAATGTTTTCTTTCTCTTAAGAAAAGAGTTTTGTAGTTTTAACTCTTATATTTAGGTATTTGATCCTTTTTGAATTAATCTTTGTATGTGGTGTAAGGTGAAGGTCCAACTTAATTCTTTTGCTTGAGACTATTTAGTTTTCCCAGCACCATTTGTTGAAAAGATTGTCTTTTCTCCACTGAATAATCTTGGCACCCTCATTGAAAATCAAATGCCCACATATGTGAGTTTATTGCTAGGCTCTCTATTTTAGTCCATTGGTCTATATGGTTGTCCTGTGCCAATACCACACTGTTTTATTACTGTAGCTTTTGAAATCAGGAAGTATGAGTCCACCAACTCTGCTCATCTTTTTCTAGATGGTTTTGGCTATTCAGGGTCCCTTGAAATTCCATATGAATTTTAGGATGAGTTTTTCAATTTCTGCAAAAACACCACTGGTATTTTTTTATTATTATTATTAAGATTTTATTGGGGAATTAGGGGAGGGGAACAGCATTAGGGAATCGGGGAAGGGGAACAGACAAGTTGCTGTCCTCTTATTCTTCAGTCTAGTTGTGGAGGATGTCGCTTCACTGGCCCATGTTGGTACTATCATTGCACTTTTCCCTGGTGAGGCAGTCGCTCACCAGCCATTGGATGGCCATTCACAGAGGCTCACGGCAGCTCATGCCGGTTGCCAGCTGCTCACGCTGGCTGCCAGCCACTCACTGTAGCTCACAGCAGCCCACTGCAGCAGGGGCTGCAGCCTATGCTGTTGCCGGCGACTCACGGCTCCAGGTTGAGCTGTTGCTCATCATCTTAGCTGTAGAGGGCATAGCATCACTGGCCCTCATGTGGGATCCGAACTGGGGCCCTGCTGCTCAGAGCTGGCATCCCAAGCCAACTCTTAACCAACGTGCCACTCGGCCGGTCCACCACTGGGATTTTGAGAGGGATTGCATTGAATCTGCAGATCACTTTGGGTAATATTGTTATGGTAACAATGTTATGTCTTCCACTCCACGAACATAAATGTCTTTCCATTTATTTGTGTGTTATTTTATTTCTGTCAGCAATGTTTTGTAGTTTTCAGTACACAAGTCTTTTACCTCCTTGGTTAAATTTATTCCTAAGTATTTTTTTTTTTAAGATTTTTATTGGGGAATTGGGGGGATGGGAACAGCGCTGGGGAATTGGGGAAAGGGGAACAGACAATTTACTGTCTTTTTGTTCTTCAGTCTAGTTGTGGAGGACATTGCTTCACTGGCCCAAGTTGGCACCATCATTGTGCTCTTCCGGGGCGAGGCAGATCAGTCGCCATCTTCTGGACGGCTGCTCACTGTGGCTGCTGGCCGCTGGCTACACACGGTAGCCCATGGCAACCCACTGCCACAGGGGCTGCAGCCTACACTGTCGCTGGCGACTCATGGCAGCCCAGCCCCAGGTTGAGCTGTTGTTATGGGATCTGAACCCGGCCCTCTGGCATCCCAAGCCAGTTTTTAACCATTGTGCCACTCGGCTGGCCCTATTCCTAAGTATTTTTTAATAGGAAGCTAATATACATAGAATTGCTTTAAAATTTTTCTTTTCAGATTGTTTATTGCTAGTGTATAGAAATACAACTGGGTTTTGTGTGTTGATTTTATATTCTGCAACTTTGCTAAATTTATTATCTCCAGCATATTGTGTGTGTGTGTGTGTGTGTGTGTGTGTGTAATCTTTCAATATATAAGACCATGTCAACTGCAAATGAAGATAACTTTACTTCCTTTTTTCCAATTTTGATGTCTTTTATTATTTTTTCTTGCCTAATTGCTCCGACTGGAACTTCCTGGACTATGTTGACTAAAAGTGGAAAAACTCAGCATCCTTGTCTAATTCCTGATCTTCAGGGAAAAGATTTCAGTATTTCACCTCTGAATATTATGTTAGCTGTGGGTTTTTCATATGTGGCCTTTATCATATTAAGTAAGTTCCCTCAACAAAATTCTTAGTTTGTTGAGTGTTTTTATCATGAATTTTGTCAAATGCTTTTTATCTCCTTCAATTGATATGATCATGTGGGGTTTCCCCCCTTTGTTCTATTAATGTAGTGTATTACATTGATTTTTATATGTTGAATCATCTTTGCATTCTGGGAATAAATCCCACTTTGTCATGGTGTGTAATTCTTTTGATACGCTGCTGAATTCAGTTTGCTAGTATTTTGTTGAGGACTTTTGCATAAAGGATATTGGTCTGTAGTTTTCTTTCCCTTGTAGTGTTTTTGTCTGGCTTTGGTATCAGAGTAATGCTGGCTTCATAGACTGACTGAGCAAGTGTTCCCTCCTCAATTTTTTGGAAGTTTGGGGAGGACTGGTATTAACTTCCTTATATGTTTCACAGAGTTCACCAATGAAGCCATCTTGTTCTGGGCTATTCTTTGTTGAGAGGTCTTTTGATTACTAATTCAATCTACTTACTATTGTACTTGTAGGTCTATTATGATTTTCTATTTTTTTGTGAGTCAGTTTTGTTTGATCATGTGTTTCTAGGAAGTAGTCCATTTCATCTAGGTTATACAATTTACTGGTGTACAATTGTTCATGTTATTGTCTTAATAATACTTTTTATTTTTGTAAGATTAATCATAGTGTCCCACTTTTATTTCTGTATATTGAGATTTTAGTAATTTGAGTTTGTTTTTTTTCTTAGCAAATCTAGCTAAAAGTTTGTCAATTTTATTGATCTTTCCAAAGGATCAACTTTTGGTTTTGTTGAATTTCTCCACTGTTTTCTTAGTCTCCATTTCATTTATCACTGCTCTAGCCTTTAATATTTCCTTTCTTCTAGCTTTGGGTTTAGTTTGCCTTTTTTCTAGTTTCTTAAGTTGTAAAGTTAAGTTATTGATTTGAAATCTGTCTTTTTTAATGTAGTTGCTTACAGCTATAAATGCCCTTCTGAGCACTGCTTTCACTGTATCCCATATATTTTGGTATATTGTGTTTTCATTCATTTCTAAGTATTTTCTAATTTCCATCATGATTTCTTCTTTTAGCCATTGGTTGTTTAAGAGTGTTTAATTTACACATATTTGTGAATTTTCAAGTTTTCCTTCTGTTATTGATTTCTAGTTTCAATTCATTGTGATTTGAAAAGACACTTTGCATTACTTCAGTCTTTTATAATTTATCAAGACTTGTTTTGTGGCCTAACATATGGTCTGTCCTGAAGAATGTTCTTTATACATTTGAGAAGAATGTATGTGTTGTTGGATGGAGCGTTCTATATGTCTGTTAGGTCTAATTTGTTTATAGTGTTGTTCATTGTCTGTCCTCTGTTTCCTTATTGATCTGTATGATTGTTCTATCCATTATTGAAAGTGGGTTAGTAAAGTCTCTGTGTCATTTTACTAGGCTCGCCATGACAAGTAGCACAAACTGAGGAGTGCTTAAATAACAAATTCATTTTCTTACAATTATGAAGGCAGGAAGTCCAAAATGAAGGTATCAGCAGGGCCATTGCCCTCTCTCATGACTCCAGGGAAATAATCTTCCTTGTCTCTTCCTAGTTTCTGGTGTTTGCCAGCAATCCTTGGTGTTCATTAGCTTGCAAATATATTATTCCAGTTTCTATCTCCATCATTACATGACATTCTCCCTGTGTGTTTCTTAGTGTCTATTTTGTCTTATAAGGACACAAGTTATTGTGTTAAGGCCCACTCTAATCCAGTATGACCTCATATTAACTAATCACATCTGCAAATACCCTACTTCCAAGTAAGTTCACAGTTATAGATATCAGGGGTTAGATTTTAACATATATTTTTGAGAGTCACAATTAACCCATAAGAGGTGGAATCTTACTTTTTTTTTTTTTTTTACATTTAAACATCTCTGAAATCAGGATATATTTTCCAATTGATGGTACCTTAAATTCCATGAGTCTCAGTAACACATCCCATAATATGATCATTGCTATGAAGAAAATATAGATTGAGAGTGGCTGAGCAAGTGTGTGGGAGTATGATTTTAGGTTGAGTGGTCAGGGAGGTTTTTCTTACACAGGTGACATTTAAGTAAAACCAATCACTTAGAAGAAGCCATCCATGCAAGATCTGGAGCAAAAGTATTTCAACCAGAGGGGTCAGTAAATGTAAAAGCCTTGAACAGACAAGTTTGGTATGCTTAAGGAATGATAAGAAAACCAGTATTAGCTGGAGCATAGTAAGGAAGAAAAAGGTAGAACAAGGTGAGATAAGTATGAAGACTTAATAAACATCTATTAACATGAAAGGTTAAAATGATGAAATTTCTAAAGGTAGAATGTTTGTGAAAATGAAGTTACCCCCAAGAACATTTTAAAACTCCCACATTTTAAAAGGTGATTGTGTAAGCAAATCCTTTTTAATTTCTATAACATCCTTCTAATCCTTTATTGTGATCCTTTTGATATCAGTATGTGAACATGTTCTTGTTGGGTTCAATATTTTAGAAACTCGTGTAACTCTTCCATGAATTATTTTTAATCTTTAAATTTTCTGAAAAATACCTTCTCAGCCTTATAAATGTTAGAATATCTCAATGCTATTGCTTCACTAAAAAACAATCTCTTGCTTATTTTTCTTGAAGATTCAAGCAAAGTATTCAGGTTCTAAGCAAAATAACAGTCTAGAAGTATGTGCTTATTCTCCTAATTTACCAAAAAGGTGAGTATAATTTGTACACATCTAAATGTTGTCTAATTGTGTCTAGTAGGCATGTTTCATGTTTATAACTCATTGTGATGCTGGGGAAAATATATGGAAGAGGTCTTTTGAGGGTATTGTGTCATTATTATTTCTTTTTGTTTCAGCAGCATAGAAGAAGCAAAAATGATGAACCAAGAGAGCAAACAAAGGATAAGGGTGAAAAATTCAGAAGCTTCTTCCTTTGACTTTAGGACTTCTGAAATCAGTGAAAAGGAAGGGTTAGTTTTGCAGCCTGCTGAACAGAACAGTTCTTTTGAGTTTTTGGAGCTAAACTGTGGCTGTAACAAAAATGCTGACACCACCATGAAATGGGAGACAAAGGCGTGTCCAGTAGTTGCTGACCCTCTCCAGAAGCATCAGAGTTTGGACTTGAGCTCCATTTTGTTTGGAACATGTCCCGATTCTAAACCTGTGAATGCAGCGGGGAGATACTTCAATTCAAAGGGGCCAATAATGCGGACCCAGTCAACTCCCTTTGAATTTACACAACAGACAGACACAAAGGAGCTGGACATAAAGGAAAATTTTTCTTATTTGGAAACTCAACTGAATAATTCTTCCCTTGAGCAGGCTCAAAAAGTGATGCATGCTTCATCGGCAGAACTGAATAATTCATTATCGTATGACTCAAAACACCAAATGTGTGAGGCCTCTAATTCAAAGCAGTATGACGCTAATGCTTTTGGTGTACATTCTTATATGTCTTTAGTGGAAGATCCTTATTTTCCACCATTGTCTCCAAGTAGTGCTAGTTTGAAGATGTCTCTTGATTTACCTGAGAAACAAGATGGAGCTGTGTTATCTTGTTCTTTGTTGCCAACATCCTCTACAACCCTTTTTTCTCATTACAATTCCCATGATTCTTTAGCACGGAGTCCTCCCACCAATTGTTCCGCAACACTGAACCAAGAGACAGCGGTAGTGGGTACGTTATTTTTTAAAAGTTTCTGTGGCATTTTATATGTCACTTTGTTTCTATAGAATATTTGGTTTCTTCTCACCCTCCCCTTTGTCCTTCTCTGCTTCCTTCTCCTCCTCAAAGAAATACATACAAGGAGTGTTTTAATGATGTGACAAGTGGGAGATAGCAAAAAGACATATGTAATGTTCCATGATCTATGATCCATTATCTATGCCAGCCGGAGTGCTTCTACAGATGGCAATACTCATTCCTAGAAATGTGTATCAGAAGTCCACAATTTGCCCTTAACATGAAGAAGCAACTTCCAAAAGAACATAAAAAAAGAGATTTGGTCAACAGCACCACCTGGTCACTCTGAATTTTTATTGCACAGCCATGTGGCTGTAGTGAGTTGAACAGATTGCTAAGAATTGAATTCGAGGACCTGATTTCCTCTTGCCCCTTTATAATAACTTAGTAGATGAGAATAGTGTTCAGTATTCTTTTGGGATTTTAATCCTATCTACACCTTTCCTTTCATACTTTATCTCTTTTACAATGCTGAAATGTTGCATGTTAGGCATATTGTTTTGCTTTCCTGAGTGGTTTGAAAGTGGAAGTCAGTATCCTGTTAAGGTGACTATAATAGCTTGATGTGGAAGCAGATGAGGGAAAGCAAAGAGCAGGTTTCACTTTCTTAGGTATGTCATCGGAGATTTATGAAGAATATTCTACCTGAATAGGAGGTAGAGAGAGCTTTTGGTCTATCACATTGTTGTATGGCGTTTCTTAATAGATGTGTAGTTGTGTAGCTTTATTATAAAAATATTTTACCTGGATATAGTTCCTTCTCTGATTAGATCATTTTATATATTTGACCTAGTTTTACAATTTAAAGGAATTTAAGTTTTCTAGATGCCTGTAATCCCTTCAACTTCCCTGAGCATCATCATTAAAACACAAATCCTTATCTTCAAGGATTGTAGCAACATTGACATGTGTGCCACCTGGTGGTAATTTCTTATAATAGCATTGAATTTTTCTATAAAAGTTCTATTTCTACAAAAATATAAAAAACCCTGTTACAGCACTGTTTTCTGATAAATGAAAAATATCCATATTCTTCATCCTGGTAGAATGAGGAAGAGACACTAAAATCTTTATGATGTTCCCTAGTCTGTAACTTTGGCATGTCAAATGCTTTGTGATGCTATATTGGTTATTCTATGTAAAACAAAAGGAAAGAATTATGTAGAAAACAATTCAAAGCTTCCTAAATTAATATAATGTCTTACATTATGTTAACTGATACAATCAAAATACTTTTCGGCTTTTTTTTTGTTTTTAAGATTTTTATTGGGGAATTGGGGAGGGGAAAAGTGTTGGGAAATTGGGGATATTGTGTTTTTTCAGGACCCATCAGCTCCAAGTCAAGTTGCTGTCCTTCGATCTTAGTTGTGGAGGGCGCAAGCTCAGCTNGCCGGCGACTCACGGCAGCCCAGCTCCAAGTTGAGCTGTTGTTCACCATCTTAGCTATAGAGGGCGCAGCGTCACTGGCCCTCATGTGGGATCCAAACTGGGGTCCTGCTGCTCAGAGCTGGTGTCCCAAGCCAACTCTTAACCAACGCGCCACTCAACCGGCCCCAGAAAAGTTATTAGTCTTATGAAATAATTTAGTTAAAAAATTCATATAGGGTGTTCTATAACCTATGAAAAAAGCAGCAAATTTTGCCTGGAATACCAACATTTCCTGTTCCTTCTTTTCTCTGTCAGTGATACCACTTGAGGAACTCATGGCCCACCTAACTTTACAACAGTCTGTGATCTATTATGAGGATAAAATATTAGTTGCCTCCATGTTGCTTCTTCTCCAAGTTGAACATTTTCCTTCTTAAAAAGCAGCACATAACTTTCTTATTGGCTCTCTTTTATAAAGGAGGCAATATAAATTGTAAGGCTACTTTACTGAAAAAATGATCTACGTTTGAATGAAAAAATTTAGGTTTATAAACATTTTAATTTTCCCTGAATTAACCTATATGAAAAAAAAGGTAGCTCACTACTATTCTAAACTACTTAAGACTTGATCAGTGAAAAACACCGAATGTATTGGGTTGTTGGAAAAGTCATGATATATTTTGTCTATGTTTTTCAAAGGTCATTTATATGTATGAAGAACAAAGGTCAATCAATAATATATTGCCCGTTTTGTTCGATAACCTTTTGCCATCTTTCAGTGAGCTTCATAATTCCTCGTTCATAAAAGGACCTGTCTTTATTTGCAAAAAACTGAACAAGGTNACAGAAACTTCAGGTAGATGTAAGTCGGCATAGATCTGAGAGATTGGACTCCATGGGCTTCTGAGGCTTACTTCTAAGAAAGCGCTCCCAGATCCTTCTCTAGATCTGGGCTGATTGCTGTTTCTCAGCTGCCTTCATCCTCTGGTCTTTTGTCCTTAATTAAAGAACAGTACTTGGCTCCCAAATTGATCCCGAAGGTTTAGACTTATCTGCCTATACTTGCTTACATGTCTTCTTTCCCTCGCACGTGGTTCATCACTCCTGAATTCCCTAAGTTCTCCCTTTAGCTTGGGTCTCTTCCTGGTTTGTAGTTAAAGCTGGTCCTATTTTTTATGAAATTAGGATTCTTCATCTGTTGTTTTAAGCTAGCATCTAAACCTAGTGTCTGTCTCTCTCTATATATAGTATATTCATTCATTCATTCACTGCATAGTCACTGAGTGCCTACTGTGTACCAGGCATTCTACAAGGCACTGAGTATATGATGGTGGGCTCTACCTTTGTGGAACTTAATTCTAGTGAGGTATTCAGACATTAAACAAGTGAATTCACAAATTATATATATATATATATATATATATATATATATATATATATATGCACATTATGAAAAATGCTATGCAGGAAACCGTGAGGGTAATTATGAGAGAGAATAACGTATTCTAAAAACGGGGCCTATTTTAGAATGAGTGATCCAGGAGGCCCTGACACGTGAAGGAGCAGCCAGCCAGGAGAAGAGTGGGGAGAGCAGCACCCCAGACAGAGGGAATAGCATATACAGAAGCTCTGAGATGTGAGTTTGGTGTGTTGTAGGAACTCAGAGGAAGCCATCAGAGCTGCAGGGTATTAAGAGGACAGAGGGGTGAGGTGTGGCTGAAAAGATGGTGGACATGGGGAGGAGGTGATCAGATCCTTATGGGTCGTGTGAATGACCCAGTGTGAGGTCACAGAAAAATTTTAGGCAGAGATGTTAAATGATCTGTTTTTTAGATAGATCATTCTGGCTGCTGTATGGAGAATGAATTATAGGGTCACAAGAGTCAAAACAGTTAGCCATGATGCCTGATGCCTGCTTTTGGTGGGAAGGTTTAATGGCTCAGAAATCCTTCAGTTGCAAGTGACAGAACACCCAACTTAAGCTAGCTTAAGCAGAAAAGGGAAATTTATTAGCCTATAATCAAGAGTTCATATGACGTAATCAGGACCTCATCTCTCATTCCACATCTTCTGGCTTTGTTTCACTCTGTGTTAGCTCACTCAGAGGCAGGTTTTTACCATGTGGTTTCAGGCTTACGATGGAAAAATGAACTCTTTCCTGGTTGCTCAAGCGACAGTCTGATGACTAGTGTCGACTGGGCCTGATTGTATTGGTTTGGTCCATTTGCCCATCCCTGAACCAATTATTGCCAGTATATTCAATGCTTTGATTCAGCAGGACAGTGTCATCCATAATATTTAACAATTGTTACATGTGGACACTGGCCAATAAGGAATGAGGTCAGACCTAAACAACTGGTGTGACCATAGCAAATTACCAACTGAAAATCAGCCCCAGTCATAGGTAGATTCCTGGATCTAAGGGTAGAATCAGCTCCACCCCAAGTCTGGGAGCTGAAAACTGGGGAGGGTTGATTTCCTAAAAGAAAATTCAAGATCTGTTATCAGAAGAAGAAGGAAATAATGCTGGGCTGGTGGCATAAAAATACCTATGACAAGCTGCCAATATGCAAAATAGCATATATATATGCAGAATCTTTGTCTCCTGCTGTAAAAAAACAATATTCCCTCTTGGGACAATTATTTTCTTTCTGAGGGATGTATATAACTCTCAGCTCAAATGCAGTAGAAATGACTGATATCTCCTGAACTTTCTTGCCTTCACCCACTTCTTATTCATGCATGTATCTATCATCAGTGCCCACTGCTTGGCATATATTAGGCATTCAATCAATAAATATATATTTTAATTGAATCTGATTGAAATTCAGTATCTACTCTACTGTTCGCACTGAAGTACCTCCAGGAACAGAGAGGTGTTTCTAGAATCCTAGTATTAGGTGTGTGTGTACAAACATACGCAGTCCTCATACTGCATTCTGAAAATATTGAAAACAAACAAAAAAGGTGACTAAAAATTTCTCCCCAATCATGTGCTATTTATTAGAAAGCTTATACAAACCTGAACTCATTTTTTCACTGCTAGATAGTGCTCCTGAAAATGTGGGCCATGTTTTCACTGGATTGTTTTCAAAATTGGGCAGGACTGATACATGAGTATGTTAAGGTGCTGGGAAGAGAAATATATTTTTTGAGCCTNGGGGTGGAGAGGGGGCAGCCCACCATCCCACACGGGTGTCCAACCAGCAACCTTGCTGTTAAGAGCACGTGCTCTCACCAGCTCAGTGGCAGCTCAGCTCGGGTGCAGCTCACTGGCCCATGTGGGAATCGAACTGGCAACCCTGTTGCTCAGAGTTCATGCTTTTAACAAACTGAGCCATTCGGCTGGCCCCACTTTTGGGCTTTTAAAAGAAATAATATATTTTTAATAAGCAAAAACCTCCTGGGTTTGCAACTTTAAGATGAGAGATTGATTTTGCTTTTTTCTCAAGTGAACAAATACCAGCTTACATATTGTAATGATGCTTGATGGAATTTGGATCAGGATTGGAATGTAAGGATTTTCTTTGGATTTTTCTAATTAAAAATTGTAATGAACATTTCTCACATTTTGAATAGCAACTTCTGCAAGGATAGATGATGAAATCCCCCCTCCACTTCCTGAACGGACTCCTGAATCTTTCATTGTGGTAGAGGAAGCTGGTGAGTACAGTTCCGTAAGTCTAAAGTGAGGTGTGGATTAACTTGATTAGTACTTCTCAAGGCCTTTCAAGGTTCTGTGAGCTGTTGCTGAGTAACATTTGCTTTCTGAAAGAATTATAACGCTCCTAAGAATTGGATCGCATTTACTTTCTTCCAGGAGAATTCCCACTCAGTGTTCCCAAATCTTTATCTTCAGCTGTGAGAGCAAAAATTGGAACATCACTGGAATGGAGTGGACCGTCTGAATCAAACAGAGCCGATGACGCTGAGAGACTCAGGCCAAGCAAGGTTAATAACACTTTTTTCTGACTCGACTCATTTGGAATCAACAGACTATAGTCCTACTAAGCAGGACCATTTTTAATACCTATCAGTTGATAAATATTAAGCAGAACTACATATGAAACAACATGCTAGTGGATGTGGGGGATAAAAAGATGGATAAGACACAATTATTGGCCTTCAGAAACATAGTCTAGCAGTAGAGATATAGGATGTATACATAATCTTTATTTTTGTCTGTTTATTATAACAAAACAAATATGATGAATGCCATATGTAAGATGAAAGTGTTAGCAATCCCTTCAGGTTGGAAGTGATCAAGGAAGACTTAATGAAAGTGGAACCATTTGAGCTGATTCTTGAAGGACAGTTAAAGCAAAAAATAAATGTTTCAGGGCCAGCCGAGTGGCGCGTTGGTTAAGAGTTGGCTTGGGACGCCAGCTTTGGGCAGCAGGGCCCCCGTTCAGATCCCACATTAGGGCCAGTGACCCTGAGCCCTCTACAGTTAAGATGGTGAGTGGCAGCTTGACCTGGAGCTGGGCTGCTGTGAGTCGCCCGTGATGGCGTAGGCTGCAGTGAAGCTGCAGTGGGCTGCCATAAGCTACCATGAGTGGCCGGCAGCCAGCATGAGCTGCCAAAAGTCGCCATGAGCGTCTGTCCAGTGACCAGCGACTGATCTGCCTCAGCCAGGAAGAGCGCAATGAGAATACCAACATGGGCCAGTGAAGCGACGTCCTCCACAACTAGATTGAAGGACAAAAGGACAGCAACTTGTCTGTTCCCCTTCCCCGATTCCCCAATAAAAAAAACCTTAAAAAAAGAATGATAATAATAATAAAATTAATAAATAAATGTTTCATAAGTATGTAGCTTTTTCACAGTGGTCATTTGGTCAGCTGTATTATGTTAGCTCTGATAACATATTATAGAGAGTAATTTTTTTTTAATGACAGATGTCCATATTATTTAAGATAAAACTTTTAGAATAATGTTCCCTGCTTCCGGAAGAAAAATCAACTATCTTAAAATTTCAGAGATCAATTAAGTAATTAACTAAACAAACATTTAAACATGCCTTTAATTGCAATGCTGGTAGGGAAATATACGCTGCCTTTTTAATTACGCTGTTAGTTTACTACTAATTATTATTGTTATTGTTAATATTGTGCTAAATGTAATGGTCTTTATCTTAACAACTTCCAGAGCAAAGAACAATCACTCCTTTTCCAATGTCACAAAGTAACTTTGATTTCAACAACTTACCTCCTTAAATTTTCAGGGAAATGTTCTTAATAGAAAGGAAATAGGTCAAAAAAGGATCAATTTAGGACCAACTGCATTGACATACAAAAATCACACTAAAAGTTGATGCCTTTTCATAATTCAGCACACTTATAAATTAGGAAAAGTAGGGTCAACATTTCATAACTGTCTATAGGCCTATGAAATATAATTTCAAAAACGGTATTTATTGCTTTGACTTTGGAAGTTTGTGTATATTTTTTTCTTTCACTGTTCCTTTTTTTCTTTTCTTTTTTTTAGAGTGTAAAACTCCAGAGTTCCAAATCAGGTAAAAAAAAAATCCCTTGGCTTTCGATGACATTTAGTCCCATACTGTAAGAATGGGTTTTTACTGTAAGAATGGCTTATTAAGTGTAGAGTATTTCACCTCACGAGATGGCACGATTCCCATAATATAATAGCTTCCATCATTTATTGATTTATTTCTGGTTTTCCCAGCTAGGAGTTTTGTTTTGTCAAGGGCAAGGTAAAAACAGGACTCAGAATTCTGCTTCTTGATGTATAACCCTTTAAGAAATTATTTCAGGTAGACTGTTAAAACTGCAGTAGTTCCAGCCTATAGGTTTTATCATTGTTAACAATGTGATTCTAAAAAAAAAATATTTCTGGTCACTTAGAACTTTAACTTGCTGTTGCTTCTCCAGTATTTTCCTGAGCTTGGCTGTTGTATGTACTGAATAACAACATCAACAGCTAACGTTTATTGGGCACTGAGAGGTACTTTATATACATATAACAGGTGGTATTTGCATATTTATTCATATTAACAGATTAGTCACTTAACATAGTCATATTATACATAAATAGGTAGTGTAACATAGAGGTCAAAAGCATGGGCTTTTGAATCACACTTTAATTCAAGTCCCCAGACTACCAATATTTATCAAAATGCATAACTTTGGTTAACTTATATACTTTCTCTATTTATTTATTTTTGTTTATAAAATGAGGATAATAGAACTTTCTTAGAGGATTTTTGCGAGGATTAAGATAACGCACATGAAGCTTTTAGCACAGTGGTTATCAAATAATAAGCTCCCATTAAATGTTTCCTATTATAGTTTTTATTCAATAATTATTAAATGATCATCTCCTAAGCCAGTTCTGTGTTAGAATAGGAGGGTATATAAGAAAGGGTGCTGCTTAATGCTTACATTCAAATAGAGTAGACAAAATTAATACTCACTTAGAACCATTAAGTGATCATCTGCGTGGCACTGATGATAATTACCAGGAGTCTGGGGAAAAGGAAGGTATCGCTGCAGTAGTTAGGGAAGGCTTCATTGAGTAGAAGAAAGAAATTTAAGAATATGGATAAACAGAGGCACAAGGAGGGAATTCCAGGAGCAGGACTCAGGGTAACAGTGACTCAAAAGTAGACATGAACATGATGAGTACAGAGAAATGGTGAGTAGGTTCATTTAATTGCAATAGAGGGTCTATTTGGGGAAATACAGAAAATAAATTGGGGTAGAGGAAATGTGGGAAGATTCTGAAGTATTAAAATCTAGGCAGATGAAACATCCAGAACAGGCAAATCTATCTATTGAGAAAGCAAGTTCGTGGTTGCAATCTAATCTGAAAAGAATGGGGGAGTGACTGCTAAATGAGGGGGGTACACATTCCTTTTAAGGAAAGTGTTTTTGCAACCGGATAGTGGTGGTGGTTGTGCAGCACTATGAATGCACTAAATGTCATTAATGGCAAATTTTCTGATGTGTATTTTATCACATACATGAACACAAAGTGAGGCAGAAGAATGTAAATTTAATGCAGTCGGTAATAAGCATTGTAAGATTCTTCATCAGGGGAGTATAAGATGGTATTTTAGGAAGGTATTTGGTGGGATATTGTTAACCACAAGTTAGTTTTAGTTCTCAGAATATTTCCTAACAGCAAACTGAAAGATGATAAGCTACTTAGAGTAATTATCAAATATTTATTAAATGCCTACTATACGCTAGTTACTGTATTAGGTGCTGGAAACAAGTACTGTATTGCACTTTATTTTTGCATATTACCCAGCATATAAAGAATAAACAAGTGAACCTGCTTTATAGACAAATACTAAGGCCTAAAAAACCAATGGCCAAAGACAGGTGAAACTCTAGCATTTAACTGAAAATTGAACATTTTCATTTTCAAAGGACATTAATATAGTATATAATTATACTCAGCACTGTATGATGAGAAGCCTGTGTCAATAGAACACTATTAATATTTGTATCTTTAGGACTTACATCATAGGAAAATTGGTCCATTATTTAAAATTCTTTATTATAGAAAACTTCAAACCTACCAAAGTAGCATTATCACACCAATAAAAATGAACAAGAATTCCTTAATATTATCTACTATCCAGACTTTGTTCAATTTTTTCAAATTGTCTCAACAACGTCTTTTTACAGTTGGTTTACTTGAATCTGGATTCAAAGTCTACACATTGCATTTGACTTACATATTTCTTAAGTCTTTTAAAATTTGTAGCAGTTCTTCCTTTTTATAATTTTTCATGACTTTTATTTAAAGACAAGAGTGGGCCATTAGTCCTAAAGACATAATATTCTGGATTTGGCTGTTTTTATCCTCATGGTTTTATTTATTGTGTTCCTCTATACCCAGGATTCTCTGTAAAATGGTAGTTGGCACTAGAAGCTTGATTAAATTCAGGTTCAATGTCTTTGGAAGAGTACTTTTGTAAGTGAGCTACAAGTTTGTGATGAATCAGAAGCTCATTGGCTAAAGAGCTAGAAAAACAAAGTTCTTGAGGCTCTAGTCATTGTTCAGATAATTTTCTATTTGGTTGTTGTAGGTTAATATTGAAAAATTGGGAAAGTTATACAAAACCAAAGAGGGGTCTTCACTTAGGAATTTTAAGTGATGGATTTGTTTGTTTGTTTTGCTGTCTACTCTTCTTATCACAGATATATGTCAAGATTGTCAAGATCGGTCTTCTTCCCCCCCACCTCCACTCCCAGAAAGAACCCGAGAATCCTTTATTCTTGCTGATGAGGATTGTAAGTAGCAGTACTTTCTCTCAAAAAAGTTATAAAAACAAGACTCTTGAAAGGTTAACAATAAAGTAGGACTTAAGTGAAAAAGGTACAAAGAAAGATTAACTAAGATAAAAATAATACATTTAAAAAACCCATAGTATATTGTAAAAATAATGCATAAAAAAGCCAGCTAAGAATTACTAAATATGTACGTATATATAACCTGAAGGCTTAAGAAGCTGTGCAACAAATTTTTTTTTCTTTTTTTTTTTAGATATGCAACCTCCACCTATAGATACTTATTCTACCAGCTGTCCTAACACCGTGGAAAATTCAACATCTTCAAAACAGACATTGAAGACTCTTGGAAAAAGTTTCACAAGGAGTAAGGTAAAGAAGACAGGAGTTTATGGAAACATGTCAGAGGCTTTCTATTACTGAAAGTGTCCTCCCTTCCCTGCCAGCTGCCATCATTAAGATAGAAAATTAAATATCTCCACTAAAATTGAATGTTGTTCTCATGACAATCAAAATTAATAGAAGGAAAACAAAAAGAAAAAAAAATACAGTTTAAAGCATACCCAATAAAACCATCAATTTCTTTCCCCCCTGATATTCTGATAGCACTATTTCCAAATACTTAGGGCAATTCTCACATGGGTGAGAAAAATAACAAGATAAAATCAAGCGGAGACTTTGCACTGAGTTAAAGATAGTAAGATGGAAAAATAGTTTTGGCATTTTAATAGCTATTTTTTAGGAAATTAATCCTTTTGATTGAAGCCTATGTTTCTACTTGATTAAAGTATTTTGGATTTCACAGAAAAAACTAATATTTTCCTTTCTTCATTTCTGTAGAGTTTGAAAATTTTGCGAACCATGAAAAAGAGTAAGTTTCTTTACACTTATCTTTTAGAATATACATACCACTTTCATAATTCTGTAATTTTTCCTTATGTAACCACTGTGTGAAAAAGTCAATACTATTCCTGACAGTCACCCCCAAATCCTGTACTGCCAGGCTCCACAATGTAATATTGAGTAGGGAGTAAGGGGGGGTAGCTTCTGTTTGATAGACAGAAATAACAGTATGATGTTTGGCACTTTCTGCCCATCCTAAGATGCTGCCATTCAAGTGTGTTATTTAAAACTCCCATCAGTCTAACCTCAGATGTATTTTCTTTGAAAACAGTCACAGCAAAGCATATTGTGAAACAAATGTGTTAATTTAATGAAATAAGCAAAGTATTAACATGTTTCCATTTTTACCAAATATTATGAGCAATAGTAAGCCTGTTGCTTGCTATTTTTGCTATACTGTAATGAAAACAAAACCCAAAGACTCTTGAAACTGTGGGAAATTGCTTATCTTAGAAATCCTTGTTTACAATTACAAAGTATATAAAACATGCTGATAAACTTTTTATAAATTTGATCCATTTGGTTAATCATCAAGGACCAAATAGCTACTTGGTATTATACTGGTGTTACATGGAGGGACAGAGAACACTGAGAAAACTTGATTTTAGGTGTTTTCTAAGTAAGAAGGTTTATAGCTGAGTCTTACTCTCTTTTTTCCTGAGTTTTCACTGTATCTTCTTATCCGTAAACTTGTGCTAACCTGCTTTCATTGCTGCACTTGATCTCTGAAGTGAACAGATTTCTTACCTATGATGGGTAAAGTGTGATTGGAAAATATACTCTTTCCTCTAAAGCCAGTCAAA